GGTATGTACCAAAATGTTAACAGTGTTAACAGTGATTGTCTTTGGGAGGTGGGCTTGTGAATGAATTATAATTTTTCCCTCTTTTTGCTTTTTTAAATTCATATTTTCTAGTTTTTCATTTCAAAGAAATAAGTTTTCAAAGAAAAAAAGTTTTTTTCTGTAATGCAGAAATATAAGTTTGAATAACAAATTCAGAAGTACAATTGCTAGCTCTTCCTTATAGAATCGTATGCAGAATGATAGAGTACCCTTTAAGCCATTTGCTCTCCTGTTCTATTTCAGAGGATTCCACGGATGTTGGTGAGGAGGACAGCTTCCTTGGTCAGACTTCGAGTCACACGTCTGCCCCACAGACATTTAGTTACTTCTCTCAGGTATCAAGCAGTAGTGATCCTTTTGGCAATATCGGACAGTCACCGTTAACAACTGCAGCCACGTCAGTTGGACAGTCAACATTCTCCAAGCCCCCGACTGCACACCCTTTTATACCTGGATCCCAAGATGTGTCAGATGTGTTTTCACCATCCATTTTGAAGGCTCAACATGGTGCTCTATCTTCCTCACCAATGGGAATAAATACTTACCTGCCTTCTCAACCGAGTGGTCTCCCTCATTCGAATTTTGGAAGCCCACCCCAAGGAACCCCCCAACCAGGACACAATCCGTATCGCCATACACCTGACAGCAGCAGGGCTAGTCCTTACATTGCACCACCCCAGCTACAGCAGTGCCAAACACCAGGCCATCCCACCCATCCTCCACCCTCTGGACCCCCTGTTCAAATGTACCAGACGCCTCCAGGATCTTTGCCACCGGTATGGAGACATGTTTTTATGTCCCGTTTATAGACTCTAATTTCTTCTCTTTCTCTCTCACCTTAGCCTGTGTTTTAAAAAACATCGTGCAGTTTATAATCAATATGATGACAAGTTATTTTCAGAGGGTATTCTTTGTAAGCTTCATGCCTTGAAGTTAACATTCTTTTAGAGGTAGCTCACTGGATACCTCATGTTCTAGTGTATATTACCTGTTTACTGAAGTGATAATTGATTTTTGTGAATTAGCTATATGCCAGTGTTTCCAGATTTTAGTGTAAGATACCAGTAATAAATGTCATCCAGAGATATGTGAGAGGTGAAGCAATTATTGTCTAACAGACTGCCAGGTTCTCATCTTTTAACTATACAAGTTAATCAGAGCACTCAATTACAGTGACTAAAATTGATTATTCCAATAATTTCTTTTTAGAATTTGGATCTAGACAGTCAGCCTCTATCTCAGGGGGGGGTGATGGAATAACATTTGTCTTGGGTACATTTTATGCCATTCTCTTGTGCTTTTTTCCCAACTAATTATTCAACTGACTTCGGAAGAAAAAGCAACCAAATAAAAAACAAAAGAAGTGGGGAGATGATTAAAAAGAACTGAGAACCCAACCCAGTGTGGTAGTGTTAGCAGTGTTGTGATCGAAGTATAACCTAAGTTCTCTCTTGGGAGTGGAGAATGGGTTCTGTTTTATCATTTAATTTAAATCATACTAATTATACAAATTCTTGATCATGTTGGATTTTAGCATATTGGAA